ATACAGCTGCTTCAGGATGATGGGGGACAAGGTAAGACCAATGAATTCCATGAGCATGATCCCACTGCCCCACTTCTTTAGCCATAAAGTGAGTGCCTTGGTCAGAGGCAATGCTGTGTGGAATACCATGATGGTGAATAAGGCATTCTGTGAGTCCACAGATGGCAGTCTTGGCATTGTGGGCAGGATAGGCAAAATCATATCCGGAGTGTCTGCTCTGGTGAGGACAAACTGCTGTCCTTTTCATGATGGAAGAGGTCCAATATAATCAACCTGCCACCAAGTAGCTGGCTGATTGCCTGGCAGAATGATGCCATATCGAGGACTCGGTGTTGGTCTCTGCTGCTGGCAAATCAGGCACTCAGCAGTGGCTGCAGCCCGATCAGCCTTGGTGAGTGGAAGTCCACTTTGCAACCTTCAATCCAATCACGTTGACACTCAATATTAACCATCACAAGGTGCTTACAAGGACAATTAAAATCTGATTGCAGGAGTAGGGAGTGGATGAGCAACTCCTCCCCATGCTCTCTAGTCCTGGAACCTCAAACTGTCTACTGTCTCCTGGCTATGATCCAAGAATCCCTGCCCTCACCTGTCAGCTTATCTTCTCGGGCAACCGGCATGATGAACTGAACATGGGCTTTAGATTCAGACCCAGGTCCAAATGCTAGCTCTCCACCCACTAGTTGTACTCTTGGAATAACAATGTAATCTGCCTGAGCTTTAGTATATTATATAATGGGGATAATAAAACCTATTTCATTGAGTTTTAATAAAGATTCAGTAATAATGACAACATTTATTGAGTGCTTACTGTATTCCATGCACTGTGCAAGTGACTTACATAAATTACGTAAATGGAGCTTAGGCTTCATTTCAGTTCCTTAGTTCCTTTACCTGTAGGGCCATAAATTGGCACCTGGGCTGACGAGTTAATAGCTACACAATTGCAGCTTCAAGGTATTGTTTCCTTGAAGAAATGAGCAGTACCTAAAGGGCTTGTCTGGCAAATCTGGTTCTCTTCAAGAAACCGAGATATGATGTCAGGCAGGGGAAGTTATTTTTCTGAGTTTCAGAAATCTTCAGTAACTGTACAGTGCCTTAAACATGGACCCTAATTCCTCATCCAGCTACACAAAGGCCACTGTGAGCTTGTTTGGATTGTCTTTTCATTCCTAGCTCCCACCAGTCCCCAGGAATGAGTATTCACTGCCTTGTCCCCTTTGTCACTCCATTCATACTGTTTACTAAGCCTGAAGACCATTCCCTTTCTCCATCGGGAAGTCTTTCTCAATGTTAAGGTCTTCCTTAATTCATGTGCTTTCATGGGGGCTGTTCCTGGCCAGAACCCAGTTAACTCCTTCCTTTCCTGCTCTCTTGGTTTATTTTAAGCTTCTGTTTTAGTCTTCATCCAGTTTGATCTTACCTCAGCCATTTGTGGATGAATCTGCCTCTCACACTCAACTTTCATCTCATGGACAGAAGAAGTAGTGCTTTATTTATTCTTTTATCCCACCCCTTCCCTATGAAAGGAACCTATCGGGATACAACAAATTTAATGCAGTTAATTGAGCTGAGATCAGCCTGCACGTCTCCTGGCAGGTAACAGGAGCTAGACATGGAGGAAGGGAATACTTTATAAGGCTCCAGGGCTATAGAGGCAGGGACCTGGGAGCTTTTGCAGGTCCACTGCCTCTTCTGGGAGGTAAAGGCCAAAGATAGGCATTCTGTGAGTCCACAGTCTTGGCAGAAGCATTGTGGGCAGGATAGGCAAACCCATATCCGGAGTGTCTATTCTGGTGAGGACAAACTGCTGTCCTTTTCATGGTGGAAGAGGTCCAATATAATCAACCTGCCACCAAGTAGCTGGCTGATCACCTGGTGGAATGGTGCCATATCGAGGACTCGGTGTTGCCCAAGGCCAACTCTCTCCCATGGTGGCCTTGGGCACTGGGAGGCTCCACCCTCCTTTGTAGATCCATGCTTCTGACTCCAGCGGTCCTGTCACCACCTGATTCTAAAGCACCTCTTCCCACAAGGCTTCCCACAGCACAACTTACTGAAAACCGATCTTTTCTGAGTTGTATGTCCTGAGGCTTTATTTCATACAGAACTGGGTCTGATCAATGAGGCCAGGCAGGTGGTATCTACCGTCTAGATGGAGCACTCTAGACATGTAACACTCCTGCAGAAAACCACTTTAGAGGGACCTGGGCTCCCTCCCATGATATCCCCTCATCTCCAAGCTCTTCTCAAGGGGTCACAGTTACTTTCACATTCAAAGAACAAGAGGGAACAGACTCTGTATTTGGATGGCAGAGCCTCCCTACATGCTCAGCTCAGGGCTTTGTCCTGCTGACTGTGAGAGAGATTGTTCTGTCCCACAGTGTCCCAGAAAGTAGCTGGGCACAGTCCTGTACTCTCAGACAGTCAGACTGACAGACACTCCGCCTGTGGCTTCCTCCTTCCTCTGGTGCACTGGCCCTCTCCCATGGACTGGGTGGAACTACCATTTCAGCTGCCATGACTCTTGGCTTTTCTAGAAGAGAAGAAAATTGGTTATGGATCCCACCCACCTATATTCAGACAGTGGCAGCCGAAACATTCTCCCCTAGGTAAAAAGAACATGTCTGTTTTACAATCTGAGCCTCAGGACAAGTCTCTTAGTCATGGTCTTCCCATCCTTCCTTGCAGAGGACAGTCCCTAAACTTCTGTTATACGGACATTCTGGAGCTGGGCCTCAAGTCATTGCAACCAAATGGCAACTTCAGGAAAGTGAGTAGGGTGTGTATTTCCAACCTGAGACGGGCTTGGGTTGCCTGAAACTGGGGACAAGGTGCTAAGGAGGAATGAAATGTGCAAAGGGAAATGTCAACAGAGGCAGCAAACGCCTGGACCTGTCTTGGCATGCAGAGTGTCTTTGTGGGGCCACCCAGGAGAGCTGGCCAACCTGTAGCCCAAGCCTGCAGGGTGCTCTCTGAGGTCCCATCTCAGCCTCTCTTCCCCTCTGCCCTTCCCCCTCTTCCCCTGGGCAGCTCCTTTGCTTGCAGCAGCCTCTCATTTCCCCGTGTTGGTTTAGTCTCAGGCCCAGACCCTTTTCAATATTTGTTTCCCCGGCTCCGCTATTTGCTCTCATTTCCATATGTTTAACATACATATTAGCTACCTCCTGCCTGGTCCCATAGTTGTCACTGGCTCTTCCGGCCTCAGTCTGAGTCCCAAGACCACTGAGCACCTTACTGTCATCCCAGCAGGATGCTGCTGGGTTGGGGTTGCCTACAGCTGACTTGTGCCACCCTCCCTCACCCACTCAGGGAACCAAGTGTGGACAGCGGGACCTCAGAGCTCCCTCTCCCCTATGCTCACCTCATCCCAAGTTGCCCTTTCTTCCTTCGGGCAACGTAATATTGATTGATATTCTAGAACTGTAATTTCTTTCTTAATGAGAAGTCAAGGTAAGAATACAGTTAAAAGTTCTTAAAGTGGACTCTGAGGCTTTCTTCGGACTATCTCTTCCCACTGCCATCATCTCCCACGGAACTTATTTTATCCTCCTCGCTCCACATTGGCCAACCTGCGTTCCTCATGAGCTTCTTGATGAATCCTAGTGATCATGTAGCCCAGCCATGGAGCTATGGCTTCAGTGCTCCTTCAGTTGTCCACCCCGCATTCCTTCCCCGTGCCTGGCACTGGGCTAGACACCAGAGTTTCCGAGATGACAAGGATGAATAGGAAGAAGCTGGAAGGAGCTCACATCTAGTGTGGGAGGTAGGGACCCAACTATAATCCCATGTGACAAGTTTAAGATAGAGGTGGGAAGGGACTGCCAGAAGAGGACCCTAACACAGCCAAGGGTATCAGCAAAGGCTCCCTACAATCCTTTCATTATTGATCATTTCACATTTAGGGGCACTCCCTACCTCCCAAAGTGTCACCCTTTCTCTCTCTGAGTTCTTGACACACATACTTCTTTCTGTGAGTGCTTTCCTGTTGCCTGCAATCAGTAATCTAAATTTTTTTTTTTTAGTAAAAAGCTGCGTTATCCTTGAATGAACCACGTTCCTCTGCCTCAATGTTTCCCCAGCTATAGAAAGAAAAGAATTAAGCTCAGTGATTTCCAGAACCGCCCCCCAATCCTGTTATTTCTACAGCAGACTGGCTCTCAGGGAGGCCTCTCTCTCCATCGTCATTGCACCGTCTGAAAAGATGCTGCCGGTCACCTTCCCCTTGCTTCTCGATAGCCGCTGGTCTCTTCTTCACTGAACCCACCTGCACACTCTGCTAGTTGGCTTCCTTAAAACCCTGCTCATCATGTTATCCTGATCGCTTGCTGCCTCCAGGAGAAAGTCCACACAACTTGGTTTCAGATACATTCAAGACCTTTTATAATTAGCCCCAACATACTTTCTTCTTCCTGCCCTCTGCCACCATGGACCTGCTCCTGCTGTAATGCCCATCCCACAGTTCCCCAGACATGAGAGTCCATTTCAACTCCACACCCCTGGATATGCCTCCACATCAGCTTGAAAATCTGCTCCCTGTCTTTATCAATCAGCAACTCCTATGTATACTCAAAGCCTGGTTCACAGCCTAGGGGTAATCCATTCATCTTCCTCTGCCCCCCTGAAGCACGCTGTTCATAATGCCATCCTACGAGTCAGTCCTCAGTCATGCTCATGTTCTGGAATTTCTGCTCTTATATGGTCCTGTCCACACTGAATAAAGATAACCTATGTAGCAGTAGGATATAGCTGTGACAATTGGTGACTTCCAGGACTAGGTTATAAGATACACTGCAACTTCTACTTTTAGAGTTGGGCCACTCTGGGGAATCCAGCAGCTACGGGACCTGCAAATAGCCTATGGGGAAGACCAAGGGGGCAAAACTGAGGCCTCCTGCCAACACTCATATATTAGTCTGTTCTTGCTCTGCTATAAAGGAATACCTGGATAAATTATATATGTCTGTATATATATGTGTGTGTGTGTGTGTGTGTATGGGTAATTTATATATATGTATGTGTGTGTGCATGTGTATATGTTTGTGTATATATATGCATTTATACATATATATACATATACAGAGAGAGAGAGAGAGAGGGAGAGAGAGAGAGCCTGTTCTGCAGGCTGTACAGGACGTATAGTGACTTCTGCTTCTGGGGAGGCCTCAGGAAGTTTCCAGTCATGATGGAAAGCAAAAAAGGGAGCAAGGCAGCTGTCTCACCTGCAAGGATCAGGAGCAAGAGAGAGTGAGCAGGGAGGTGCTGTACACTTTTAGGCAACCAGATCTCATGAGAACTCACTATTATAAGAACAGCACCAAGAGAATGGTGCTAAACCATTCATGAAAATTTCACCCCCGTGATCCAGCCACTTACCACTAGGCACCGCCTCCAACATTGGGGACTACATGAGAGTTGGTGAGGACACAGATCCAGACCATATCAACCACATCAACTTGCCAGTGTGCAAGTGAGCCATTGTCTCCAATGCATCCTTCAGCCATGGCCAAACCTTCATAGGACTGTGTTCCCGGTCAACATCTTGACTGTAACCCACGAGAGACCCTGAGCCAGAACCACCAAGCTATGTGGCTCCTATTTTGGATCCATAGAAACTGTGAGAGATAGTAAGTGCTCATTGGTGTTTTCAGCCATGAGGTTGTGGGGCACTTTGTTACGAGGCGTTAGGTAACGGAAACAACAGCTTTTACCTTATTGCACTAACGTGTGTCTTTTTACAGGCTTCTCGGTATAATCTGTCAGCATCTCTGAGAACATGGCCTGTGTCTTTCTCTTCTGAATCTATAGTGTCTAGTAAACTGCATGATGCAAAAAGTAGGCTATAAACAAAACCTTGTCTAACTTACTAATTCATTAGTAACTAATTTTTTAAAGCCCTAAAGATCTGGTTTGTGTATCTCCTTGTTCAGCTACTTGAGTCTTTAATTTGGCTTCCTTTAGGCATCTCTCTGTACCATACCCCCACCTCTGCACACTACAGGGCTCTACCTCATATTTGCAGTTTGCAAAAGACCTTTTAGCTGCTTGTTCATTCCTCTAATGACCTTCTGAGGTTGGCAGAGAAGGTATGATTAAGCATATTTTACATAAAACAGGTTATGTTCCTTGTCCCAGTTCGTCAGAGTCCCAGTTTTCCTAGACTTTCTCAGTTTTCCTAGTAGATCCGTTCAGCGTCCCTTATACTGCCCTTTCTTGTATAGGTGAGCTGGGTATTGTAGATGCTTCAGCTGCTTCTCTCTAAGACCCATTGTTGGAGGCTTCTGAAGGAGCCCAGCTTCCTGTTTCAAGGTAAGAATACAATCATTCACACTTGTAAGAATTTCCTGCCTAGCTACCCTTCTTTCCTTCCGAGGCTGGAAGCCCAGCCACCCTGGGCCACCCTGGACCACCCTGGGCTATGATGACACAGAGTCTGGGTGTAGGCTGTGCCTTGGTTTGTTGTTCTGTCTCCTTATTAGCACAAGCTAATGCCACTCAGCCCTGTTGGCTGCACACACATGCTTCAGACTTCCTGCAAGAGCCATGGTGGTGTTTGCTTGGAGAGATTGTCTGAAAAATAACCTCTTTCCCTAGCATCCAGAAATAGCTCTTGATGTTATCTTAAAAAAACAATTTTGGGACCAAAATTTAGAATAAAGCTGAGTGCCAGTAAATGCCTACATGACTGCTTCCAAGGGAAATCAGGAAGGATTTCTAGAGACGCTAAAGCCATGTATTATTGTAAGCATGTGGAGTTGAAAAGCTCCTAGACTAGACTAGGTGTTAGAAGACCTTTTTTTCGAGTCCCATCTCTCATCACAGTAGCAGTATGAGGCACTGCACCTCTTCGGAGTACAGTTCTTTCATCTACAGAAATGCAGTCATCCTACTTTCTGTACTAAAAATCATGAGATCAGAGAGAAGGTGAGTAAACATCATACACATCACGTGCCGAACACCTAGGATGTGCCACATTCTATATTAGGCACTTTGCAGTCCTTAACTCACTGAAGTTTCACAGCAATGCTATGAAGTAGGCATTTTCCCAACTTAAATACCAACTAAACCAAAACTTAGAATAGTTAAGTAGGATGCTCACCAGGCAGTAAATCAAGGGTAGAACAGGGATGCAAACTTCAGCTTTTTCCACTTTGCTGTGATGACAAGTAAGAGACTACATCCCAACTGCTGTAAACATTCCTTTTTAAAAAAATCGAATGACATAAAAACAAAGAGGAAAGAGCCCAGCATTTGGAGATAGGCCCAGTGATTTGTGCTATCCTCCTTAGTTCCCTTTTTTGACTTCTCAGGGCAAAGACTACACTCTGGAAGCATGGATCCTGGACAGCCCATGCTCCCGAGCTTCTGCAGATGAAGGTAAGAGAAGGGTGGGCCCCCTACACCCCCCACAGACCGACAGAAGCTCTCTCTTACCTGCCAGTGGAGATTCCACTCACCCCACCCTGTGCAAGGAACAACGGGGTTTCATCGTCTCTCTGGAAAGCTGCAGATGGCCCATTTTTGCATTCTTCCCATTTCTTAAAAGTACTGCACATGAATTTTTAAAAGTAAAATTGATTTAAATTGATTCTATTTAAATTTTCTTTTATTTTAAAGGTTTCACAATGCATTCTAGGATAACTGCAGCCTTTCTCTGTGTTCAGAAACACACTTTACAGCCAATATTGAACTCACATATAGTTCCTTCTAGGTCATAAAGGCTGCTCGTTTCAATGCTAGAATTTCATCTTTTGTCAAGTCCTGGTTCTCATCTTGTGCACTCTGTGAATATCACAGAGGCCCACAATCGCTTAATGCTCAGCACAAAACCCAGAAGTTGACCTTTCTCTTGCCCAACATTTTTCTTCCAACCCAGATTCCAGAGAGTTCATTTGTACCTCTATTTGTCTGCCTGAGGGTCCCTAAAAGAGAGCAACTTCTCTTTAATTCTATTGCCATTCAACTGTCTGACTTTGAGCACATCGCTGAGCCTTCTCTGTGACTCAGTTTCCCCTTCATGATAACTGCTCCATGTCCTTCCCACAGCTGCTGTGACAACAGTGTTAAAGATGCCCCACAGTGATCACATCATCCTTGTCCCTTTTGGTTACTGTGCTGAGAGAGGTACTTAGAATTAGACTCTTCTTCATCCCTCAGAAGGTAACCCTGGGGAGGAACTCAGTTGATCACTCTGATTTTCCATGGCTTGTTACATGCACCAATCTCCAGCCCCACCCTTCGCTTGGCTAACTCTTAGCTCTTCCTATCCTGGTCCTCTGCAGAGGTCACTTTCTCTAGGAAACTTCCCTGGTCACACCCAGTCTTGATTAGGTACCCTTCTTTTTTTTGGATGGAGCCTTGCACTGTTGGCCAGGCTGGAGTGCAACACTCGGCTCACTGCAACCTCCACCTCCTGGGTTCAAGTGATTCTCCTGTCTCAGCCTCCCTAGTACCTGTGATTACAAGCACCCCAGCTAATTTTTGTATTTTTAGTAGAGACGAGGTTTCACCATCTTGGCAAGGCTGATCTCAAACTCCTGACCTCCTGATCTACCCACCTCGGCCTCCCAAAGTGCTGAGATTACAGGCATGAGTGCCAGGCTGGTTAGGTGCCCTTCTTAAGGAGTCTCACAGCATCCCATAATAACCATCACCAAGTGGTGTAATTATCTCTCTGTCAGTCTCATCCACCAATCTCTAAGCTCTGTGAGGGTATCTCACCCTCCTTGTTCATCATTGTATGCCCAGAGCATAACAGAGTGGCTGGTACACAGTAGGTCTGAAAAAGCACCAAATAAGCCTGTCTGTCCTGCCCCTTCATGGAGCTGCTATGGGGAGTGAGTCTTTTAGCAAGCCACTTCATGTCTCCTGGCTTCAATTTCCTCCTCTTTAAAAAGCATGGTTTAAACTAGCTGTTCTCTATCATTCTTTCCTGCACAATAATCTGTAATTCTGTGATTCTAAATAAGGTAATGCATTGAAAGAACATGGGAAACTGTAGCACTTTAACCAACATAAGGATTGTGTTTAACGTTGCTATTATTATTCTGCATGGTTTTCCCGATCTGTGCATCCTAGCAGCTCATGCCTCAGAATAGATGCAGCCTTCCTCCCGCAGCTGAAAGACTGGCCTTGCCCAAGACTGCCCCTTAAGTCAACAGCAGTACTGCAACAGGGGCATCGATGGGTCTGACCCTCCTTTTCTCTTTCTTCACAAGAGGCTTGGGAAATGTGTGAGGATCCTTTCTTTCCTGACATCTGAATATTGCCTGGGCTGAGTGGATGAGACCTCGTTTTTGCAGACAGTCTGTGATGACCTTACTGAATTTTCTCATCTGGCCAGTGGGTTTTGAGGATTTTTTTCTCTTTTAAAAAAAGAAAGAATTGAAAATCAATAATGAAAAAAAAAGAAACAAAAAATAAAGGAGAAGACAAAGCAGTCAGTGTGCCTGAAGTTTAAATTAGAATACAACGGTTTAACGCTCCCAAAGACCAGACTATTGTTTCTTATCAGATTTCCCCTTGAATGAGCAATTGTGAAGCCAGCCTGTCCAAAAGAATGAGTTGTCATTCCGCCAGATGAGCAAACACCATCGATTTTAATGTGTGTGATAGAAACAAACAGCACTGAGCTCTCCCCTCCACACCCTCCGCTGGACTCTGCTTGGTGGAAATAGATGCCCCGGTTTTGTTAAGTGTCCAGACAGAAGCACCAGGCAGGAAGTGGCAGCAAAAGGTTCAGGACTGGACAGAGGGAGATTCTTCCAAACAGACTGGGCCCCGAGAGCCTCCCAGTTCAGAGAAAATGCTGAGTCATGAAACATGGACCCCCAAGGGTGGGAAGGACTGGAGAAGAGGATCGCAGTTCCTTGCGGGGACTGGGGAGACAGAAGCCAACACACCACCTCCTGGAAGTCTTCAGACAGCTGCCAGTGGGCGGGGGCGGGCACAGAGGACAATAGATGGGTCCAAGAGCAATGACACGACCTGCTACGGGGCCTTGTTGTCAATGCCCAGCCTGAGCTGCCTCCACACCATGAGAACTGACTCGAAGAGAGCTTGCCTTTGAGATAATCTCTTATCAGAGGCAAGAAGCCTACTGAGTAGAAAGGAAAAGAGGAGGGCCCCTGGAAACCTAGGAGCTTTCCCCATAGCCCCCGAAAAGATTCTGTGGTCTACTGAATCACTTGCAACGTCTGCTGACCAAACACTCAGGGGTTTTCTCTTCAAAAATTATGACTTCTGGTCTATGGCCTTCTGTGTTTATCTGGTTAACGAATAGGCATCAAAGAAATATTTATACAGTTCACTGACTGATATTCTGTACCAGCTGAGGAGAGGATAGCTCCTACGTTGGAATAAACCCACTGCATTAATGCTGAAAGCAATTAGCAGTTAGCAGATGTCAAGATATCAGCTTCCTAGAAGGCCTATGTGAGACCAAGCAAAATCTAGAAAGAGACTATTGGACACTGATAGTCAGGTAAGTGTCCCCTGCACTTTGGCAAAATGGTTTATCGTCCTTATACCCAGGAGAGAGAAGAGTGGCTTTTCTAGTGAAGAGGTCCCCAGTCTGGAAGCTGAGATCTGGCTTTTGTTATTAACAACACAAAATGATAACACACCCCAGTGTTTCAAGAATAGTAACCCCTGGGTGTTCAGCTCTCCTTCTACATTTGCAGTCTATAGGAGGATACTCATGAGATAGGGAGAACGCCAAGAATTCAGTCATGGGGAATACAGTCTTCACCTGCAAGCAAAACCTAGCAAAAGCCACACACAGTGGAAGTTATTAGGCAACTATAAAAGTCATTGCAGAGATTATCTGTAATTGTGTGACTTGAGGATTTAAAAACACCCAAAACTCCAGTTAAGGCCACCTGGTAGATAATACTGTAATTTAGTGAGACTGTAATTAAGTAAGCAAAATCCTAATCAATCATATTGCTCCTTCCTAAGAGAAAGTCCTCTTCCAAGCCTGCCCCTCCAGACTGCTGTGAGTGTCCATTCATGTGACAGGCAGTTACCTGCCATAAAGATACATACTTCAGCTGTCAAAGCCAGTTGACCTTGGAGTCATAGAATTCTTTTCTCTGGTTCTAATTCTATGATCCTCAAACATTGCTCTGATAAGTTTTGGACCCACATGGCTTGCTTGCAGAGAAAGAATAGTCTGGACAAGCCAGAGCAGCTTACACATCTTGTAATAGCATTCCAACATATGCCTCTTGAGGCTTTTGCTAATGTAAACAAGTTGACCTGAGTTCAGTTGACAGGACAGGTCTGATGAGCACACAGTGCTAAGATCCAGGACCTGGAAAAGGGGAAATTTATCTAGAAAACTAGCAGTCAGATGCCTGAGACCCTGCCTCCACAGACCACTCTCCCAGGGAAAAGTAGGTGTTGATTTGACCTCTTCTTCAGAAAGGTGGCATTCAGGTGTTTAATCCCCACATGTATGATATAGATTTTTAAAATTACCTCTTCTGTTTATCAATAAGGAAGCTAAGATATAATGGCTCAAGGTCACAGAGCATGTGGTGTTTTGACTTTACACAATCCAAGGCTCTCTCAGCACCATAAAAAGATTTACAGAAGATTTCCAAGGATCTCTCCCAATCTGAAAAGGCTAGGCACTTGCTCCCCTCAATCCTGTGTAAAAGGGATGCTGGAATGGGGTCAGATTGTCTTTGTCAAGTCAGAGATCAAAAGGAGGGACTTTTGATCCCACCCTGATGTGCTTCCCTATTCCATTTGCTGGCTGTCATGGCCTCCTGCTTCCTTTCCAGGTCACTCATAAGACCCTAGGCATTAGGTTCCTCTTGCTGAGGACTGAGAGGCATTGCCCCAAGAGAAATGAGTCTGCGCTACCTGGGAGACTCCTGTAAACATTCATTTTCACCTACAGACCACGAGCCCTGTGTGTAGAGAACAGTACAATGGTGTGGTCCCTAGGCTGTAATGGAGGATGGGCAGGGAGGAGGAAGTACATCCAGTGGCTCCCAGGCACTCCATGATCTGAGAAGCAAATCCGCCCTTCTCCTTGTCCTTGCCACTGGCTGAGGGGCATTGCTGAAGAATCTCAGGGAGATACAACCACAGAGTCATACCCTTCCCCATTCCCTGTAGCTCTTTTCTTAAATAATTATCCCATGAGGATGGTAGCCACAGTCCAAGCTTTCCAAGGGCCAAGGGACTCCACCACAGTGCCTGTGGGGGCAACATGGGCATAGGATTGTACACAGCAGACTAGACACAGAGTTATGCCTTCCAGCCTCTCCGTCTTGGTCATGGTCCTCTCCAGATCCTATTCTGTTCTTTATTCAGACAAGGATTCTTGTTCCCCTCCCCAAACAGCCTTTCTCTCCCCAGAAGAGTCTCTGCAGCCTATATCTCCTCTCATTGTATTAGACGATTTTCACACTGCTGACAAAGACATACACAAGATTGGGTAACTTATAAAGAAAAAGCTGTTTAATGGACTCACAGCTCCACATGGCTGGGGAGGCCTCACAATCATGGCGGAAGGTGAAAAGTACTTCTTACCTGATGGCTGGAATAGAGAATGGGAACCAAGTGAAGTAGGCTTCCCCTTAGAAAACCATCAGATCTTGTGAGACTTATTCAATACCAGGAGAACAGTATGGGGGAAAACCACCCCTGTGATTCAGTTGTCTCCCGCTGGGTCCCTCCCACAACACGTGGGAATTATGGGAGCTACAGTTCAAGATGAGGTCTGGGTGGGGACACAGCCAAACCAAATCATCCATCTCAGCAACCTAATGCAATCTGTCACCTCTCCTCCCTCCCTCCCTCTTGAGCAATTTCTCTCTTTCAGATGTCCCTTACCAGCTCCCATTTTTTTAAAGCCTCCAGTAGATCATCAAATCAAAACTCCAACCAACATTCCTGCTCCCTGCGCTCTTCCTTCCCTCCCCTCCTGGCCTCAGCATTGCTCCACCACCTCTTGCTGCATTTGTGCCTGACCTGCAGGAGAGCTTCCCCATGATTTATTTATTTATTTGTGAAAAATGAGGTTCCAATTATGGCATATCCATAGAGTGGAATGCTATGTAGCCATTTAAAATGATTGGGTAGAAGGAAATCTAATGAGGTGGAAAAATGGTCACAACAATATATTCAGAGAGAAAAAGAGGCTGCAAAACAGTGTGCAGAGAACATTCGCATTTCTGTTAAAAAGTGTGTGTGAATGTATTCCTACACGACTGAGAGTATATGAGCCTAAATGTTCTCAGTGGTCATCCGGGCATCTGGGCAGTGTGATGATTGCAAATGATATCTTCTTCCTTGTGCTTTCTATATTTTCTAAATTGTTTTACAATGAGGAAATATTACCTTTGAGATGAGAAAAGAAGTGTGTGTGTGTGTGTGTGTGTGTTTCCTTGAAATACCAGTAAAATGCCCTTTCCGTCCTCTCTCTCTCTGCCCTTTCTGTTTTTATCCACATTGGCATATGTACTTGTTATTCTGAGCAAATGAGCCAATTGAAATAAGACTCCATTTATGCAAGCAGACTGTGGCTGTTGGTAGTCCAAAAATGTTGTCAGCACTAAGCAATTGCTCCTTTACTTGCCTGAAATGTACCATCCTCTCCAGTGTGCCCTGCTCCACACTTAGGTCCGCTCAGCTGTTCCTGAAAACATGATGGATGCCGTTACCATCAGAATTCTTACATGTAACTAGAATATTCTCTTTGCCATGGAGAGGCAACGTCATATAGTGGTTAACAATGTGCATTATTTTATCACTAGATTGACAACTTGGTTTTGAGTTTCATCTCTGCCACTTACTGTGACTACTGACTATCCAAGCCTTGATATTCCCCATCAATATCAGTGAATATTGACAACAATAATGACAATATCTATTCATAGGATTATTTTGAAGACTAGATGACTAAAAATAATCAAGTACTTAGCACAGTACTTAAAATATAGTATTTAACAAATAGATGTTGTTATTAACCTTGGACAATCCTATTTCTTGAAGGAAATAACATTGTGAGTCTTGTATTTTTAGTCTTGCATACTTGGCTTAAGTTAAGGGCAGAAGAGCAGGTTTTAGGAGCTTAGAGAAGACAAAGTGGGGATGAGTTGAGGTGGAGTATTCTGTTCTGCTGCTTCCATCTCAGAAACATGTACAGACATGGGCACAGCATATGAACAGGTCACAATCTTTCAAAAGGGCTCTTCTGTTAAAGGTCATCCTTTATTCTAGCTTTGCTGTGCCCTGGGCACAAGACCATATTTTAATAATGACCTGCTTAAAATCAACAGAAATACTAGCTTTCAGTTCAGTAAAACAGAATCTGAGGGCTGAAAGTAACCTCAATCCTCATCCAGTCCAATGTCCAAATGGTAGATTTTGAATCTCTCCCTAAACATACATGTAATGTCATCATCTGGTCTATGCTCTGTCGTCTCAAGTTACCAGGAACTCATACCTCTTCAGACAGCTCATGCCATGGCAGAGCACTCAAAAAGCTAAATCAGAATAGAGGTCTTTCATTTTGTTGAACCTAAATCTGCCTCTCTGTAGGTTTCCATTTTTGGTCCCATTTCTAATGCCTGCAAAGAAAGAACAAGCAAGCCCTTTCTTCTGACGGCATTCTTTCAAATATTTGCAGCCAGGGACTATATATTACTCTCAGCTTTGTCTCCTCCAAGCTAGATGCCATCAAATTCCAAACCAAAAATTACCAACATGCAAAGTTTTATGGCCCTTCATTGCTCTAGTTCCTCTCCTCTAAACTTGGTCTGATGGTCTAGAACACATTTCTTCTTACGGGATTTCACTTAAGACGTGGCAAAATGACCACCTCTACCCCTTTAGACACTGCGGTTTTATTCGTGTTGCCAAGAGTCTTTGCTTTTGGTGGCCACCACCAATTTACTCCCAACTAAATCCCAGGAAGGAAGGTATATATTCCTTCACAAGTATGGCTTCTCCTTTCTAGTGATCTTATTCTGTAACTGTGAGATTTTAAAATAGAATGTGACATTATTCTTGGTTAAATTTCATCATTTTGGATTCATTTCATTCTTTCAGCTTGTCAAGAACTTGGGGGAACCTGATTCTGTCATCGAGAATATTTTCTAACCGTCCCAAATTCATGTCATCCACTGATGACTCTGGCTTCTGGCTTTATAAAAGTCATTCATTAAAACTTTTACTAGCATTCACCTGAAGTCAAACCCTGGAGAAGTTCACTAGAATCTTCTCTCCAGTTCATCATTAGTTCAGATCTTTAGATCCTTCACTGAATTATCTACCTAAGAATCCTTTGATCCTTTCTGAATACATCTTAAGATACGGTATAATATGATACGATTTTTTTTCAGGATACATTATTGAAAACCAGAAACACACTTTCCTTATCTACCAGTCTCATACCTTTACCTAAGAAAAATAAATAGACAAGTCTGACATGGCATGCTCTTAGAGAATTCTAGGTCTTAGGATTCTCTGCTTTTTTTTCTGGATATTCTCAAACTATCTCTTTTTACCATTTATTTTGGAATTTTATTTTATTTCTTATTCCCTTGTCAAAAATGGGCCTGACACTGGCCTTCTGGTCCCATGACAATTACTGACAATCCAGCATTCCCCAAAGATCACAACAGCAACCTGGAGAGTGCAAGAGGAATAACCGTGACGTGTAAGGTACTAAGTCCAAAAAGCTTAAATGTTTAGATTGGTTAGACATCTTGTATTTATTGGTTTACTGACTGATAATGAATTGATTTTGCCCATTAGGGGCTGAAAGAAGTAAATATATAAACAAATAAAAGACAAATATTAGAAACTAAATCTGTTGCCTTGGTTTTGGAATAATTTCTTCACTGTAATCTAAAGCCACAAAAACCAGAGAGCGAGAGGCTGATGGATAATTACTACATTAACATTAATTTGGGACAACTCCGCAGGGCCATCTCATCTCCACGCTCCCTGTGGGATTGGCTGAGGCTTTTGTTGCAAATGCACTGCAGTTCCACTCCTTCTTTCAGCCCAGTTCCACATCCCTCAATTCCTCACACGCATGGCTTTTGATGGCATATCTAATAAACCTCCACGCAAATCTCCAAAGTCTATTTTCAGAGAACTTGACCTAAGACAGTTGGTATAAAGAAGCAGATTTTTAAATGGGATTTTGGAGCCGTGTCACTCTCTCTGTAGAGTCACCTGCGAGTGAGGGCTTCATCACTGGAGACTGCTGGAGTCCTGTTAGTCCCTGGCATGCTGTATTGGCACAGTTATTAGAATGTTTATTGGTGTTGAACTGGGATGAGATACCAGTGGAAGGGCAAGTATGGGCAGGTGAGATATCTCAAGCATTTGAGAAGTATCAGTAACTAGTAAGTTTTAAATTTAGGGAATGGAATGCTGTTGTTGAGTGCTATGGATACATTAGAGAAAGACATTAAAGGCTGAGGGGGATTATTTATGAAGTTTAAGCTCAGTGTAAAAGTCAGAGGGCCTCATGAGCAGCATAGAGCAAGAACCCCCTCTCTTGCAGCAGGAGTCAAGAAAAACTGAGGATCAGGCCGAAAGCTGAGTTACAAGGGGAGCAAAGCCTTAGAGGAGATTTAATTCTCAACTTCAGCAAGTCTGCTCCACCAAGGTCAGGGCTGTGACTGAGAAGGAGGGAGCACAGCTATTGGGATGGGGACATCTATGTTGATAAACTCAAGGATCTTAGAACCCCAGATGCCCATGAACTCTCTATGGAGATGCCCCATCCTCCTTCTTAGATGCTGATGCTCCCTCTCTTCTTGCTTAAAAGTATTTCAAAGGCCTCTTATTTGAAAAACATGCCCACTACCCTCCATATGAAATGCTACCCTAACTTGTATCCTGTTTAACACAAGATTCATAGTTATAATGTCAACGGGAGAAGTGATGGGTCTACCAAGGGAGAGAAGGCCATATGCTACATTCTGTAACCCCTGTGCAGCAGCAGGAGATGGGAAAGTAAGCACTAGATCGGCTCCCGAGGGTGTTGAGTCAAGAGTGGCAGGGTGCAAGGCTGGATAAATGAGAGCTTATTGGTATGGAAACACCCTTCCAGGACATAGAATTAACACCCTGGCCAAGTATTGTGAGAAAGCGTGCTGATATGTGAAAAGGATATCTCTTGGAAGCTTAAGAAAAGGGATGGCTCCACTAAATGAAGCAGAAATGCCAAAACTGTAGTGGTAGACAATGGAAGAACAGATATCAAAGGTCAGATGGTCAAAGGTCCATGCTAGAATGGACATACTGCACAAGGCCAGACAAACTGATCCATTGGCCATGTTCCATGGGAGAACCTGAAGGACACTTCAGGTTATCAAAGCAATAAGAAATGCATAGGTGAGTGGATACTATAGACTAAACTGTAACCCTCCAAGTTCATTTGTTGAAGCCATAACCCACTGTGTAAATGTATTTTGGAACCAGGGTCTTTAGTAGGTAATTGAGGTTAAATGAGGTCATAAGAAGGGAAACTTAATCCCATAGGATTATTGTCCTTAAGAGAAAAAACA